CTTAGCAGTGCAAAGCAGTACACCCAACAGAACACAGCACCAAAAGCAAAGAGACAACAAGCAAACAACAACACCAGCAAAAAAGAACAGTAAATAGAGCAAAATACAACGGGAACCTCAACTGAAAAAGAAAGAGACCAGAATACACACACAAGGAACCCGAGACAAGCCCCAAACAATCAAATATTTGCTTCCCGCCGAGATTCTACAAACTGAGTGAAAGACAATATCCCGAACAAGGGCATCAACTGATTTGCAACAACTAGTAAAGAGAACTGCATTCCTTTGAATCCAAATCCCATAAACTGTTTCAGTGAAGGCCACCTGGATCACTTTATTCTTTAATCTGGAACTTCTGCAGATTTTCTTCATCCAATCAATCTCATCACTAAACTGCTGAACAGGCTTCGAAACACGTAAGATCCCCAAAACCTTACTCCAAACCCTCCTAGAGAAATCACAATAAAAAAAAAAGATGCTGAACACTTTCATTGCCATTCAAAAAAAGGAAACACTTTGGATCACAAGAGATGTGCCATTGAAGCAACATATCCTTAGTGACAAGCCTATTCCATAAAGCTAGCCACAATATGAAAACACTCTTAGGAGTTGCTAAGTTATGGCAAGTAACTCTCTTCTAAGGAACTTTAAGCACTTGAGGCCTAATAGCAGCATAAAGCTTCTTAATTTTCAACTTGTTGCCCTGAACGAAACCATCTCATCCCCCTTGATCATTCACAATATCTCTACAACTCAAAATCTTCTTCAAGAACCAACAGCATCTAGTAGGGGTAGCAGTGGTCCAACAATCTTTATGCTTGAAATAGTAGATATGAACCCACTTAACCCAAAGATTATCAGCCTTGTGAGCAATATCCCAAAGTAACTTAGTGACAGCTGCTTTATTCCACTCAGGAAGAGAAAGCATGTTCCAGCCACCACAAACTTTAGGAAGACAAACATTATTCCAAGCAACCAAAGACTTCTTAGCAGGAGCAGAGGATCCAGTCCAAAGAAAGCATCTGAACCTAGCCTCAATCTCTTTCAGAATTTTCTTCGGAAGAATAAAAATTTGAGCCCAATAAGTCTGGATACCAAACAACACACTCTTCACCAATTGAAGCCTCCCAGCATAGGACAGGTGTTTAGCCATCCACCCTTGAATTCTAGCAGTGACTCTCTCCACCAAAGGCCTACATTGAGCAATAGTAAGCTTCTTTGAAGAGAGAGGGACCCCAAGATACCTAAAAGGAATGGAGCCTTGAGAAACACCAAGAAGCTCCCTCAACTCTTTCAGAACATCAACAAAGACTCCTCCAAAGTAGACTTCACTTTTATCAAGATTAGCAGAAAGCCCAGAGGCACCCGAGAATTTCGAGAAGGCTTGGAAGAGAAGCTTAACAGAAACACTATCATCTCGAGAAAACATCAATAAGTCATCAGCAAACATCATGTGAGTTAGGTTTAACTTTTCACATCTAGGGTGAAAGTTAAAGTCAGGAGACAACCTAAGCTCATCAAGGAATCTGGAGAGGTATTCCATACCAATAGCAAAAAGGAAGGGAGACATAGGATCACCTTGTCTTAACCCTTTCTTAGCTTCAAAGGGGGGAGGGGGGCAGGAAAACCATTAATAAGAATAGAGTAAGAGACAGAAGTATGACAATTCCAAATCCAATCAACAAATCTCTGAGGGAAACCAAGCTCTTGCATGACAGTGATCAAGAAACCCCACTCAACCGAATCATAGGATTTCTTCAAATCCACCTTAACCATACACCTGGGAGAGATAAATTTGTGATCATAGCCTTAGATCAATTCAGTTGCAAGAAGAATATTGTCACCAATGTGCTTGCCAGGAATGAACCCTGCCTGAGCATCATCAATCACCTCACCAATGACAGCAGCAAGCCTAGCAGTTATGATTTTAGAAATGAGCTTATAGACCACAATACAACATGCTATAGGTCTAAAATCCTTAACATGAGAAGCAGAAAGGACTTTAGGGACCAAAGTAATAGTTGTACAATTCCATTGCCGAGGCAAGATCCCATTATTAAAGAAATTAATAACACTTGCATAAATATCATCTTTCACAATATGCCAGACTCTCTTAAAGAAAAAGGAGTTAAAGCCATCAATACCAGGAGCTTTAGTGTTATCAATTCCCTTAAGGCCAACATCAACTTCAACATGAGAAATAGGCCTAATGAGGTAGCTCTGAGCAGCAGAGCTAAGCTTCTTACCCCTCCGCATAGTAACAAGGTCAACAGCAGGGAGCCACGGAGCCTGAGTCCCTAAAAGAGACTTATAGAAAGAGATGATTTCATGAGAGATAACATCTGGATCCTTAAGCAACACCTGATTAGAATAAAAAATGGAGTCAATTCTATTCCTTGCTTGCCTAGTCTTCATCACAGAAAAGAAGTAGTGGGAATTGCCATCTCCAAGCTTAACCCAATTAATCCTAAATTTTTGCTTGAAGATGCTTTCCTGGATATCATTCCAGTGCTTAACAACCTTAATAGCATCAGATTCTTTAGCACATAAATCCAAATCATCAGGGTTCTGAGCCATTAAGGTTTGAATTCTAGAAAGCTCATCATTAGCCTGGTCAATCTTTTCCTCAATGTTACCAAACTGCTTGCTAGTAAGAGATTTGATACTAGACTTCAAGCATCCAAACGAAGCTCTTCCAACTCATGTAAATCCAACCAACGTTGTTCTCCCGCACTAGCCAAATAAAAATTAATCTTCTTGATTGTCGAATGAGTGCGGTGCTCAAGCTCCACCGAAAGATGGCACGACTTTCCATAAATTAATCGATAAGGAGTGGTACCAATAGGAGTTTTGAAAGCCGTTCTATACGCCCACAAAGCATCATTAAGCTTGTTTGACCAAACTTTCCTACTCCTTGCAACCGTCTTCTCAAGAATCAACTTAATTTGACGATTAGATACCTCAACTTGCACATTGGTTTGAGGATGATAAGGAAGACCAAATCTTTGGTTCACCCCATGTTTCTTCAACATTTTCCGAAAAGCATAGTGCACGAAATGAGAGCCATTATCACTTATAACCGCCTTGGGAATGCCAAACCTTGGAAATATAATCTTCTTGAATAACTTCATCACCACCTTATGGTCATTTGTTGGAGAAGCAATGGCTTCAACCCACTTTGACACATAATCAACGGTAACAAGAATGTATTGATTCCCAAAAGAAGAAGGAAAAGGACCCATGAAATCTATACCCAAAACATCAAAGATCTCCAACTCAAGAATTGGTTGTTGGGGCATCTCATTCCTTTTTGAAATATTTCCGGTCCTTTGGAATTGATCACAACTCTTGACAAATTCCCAAGCATTCTTGAAGAGGTTTGGCCAACAAAAACCACATTGAAGCACCTTAGAGGTCGTTCTTGAAACACCCATATGACCACCACTAGGATCCGAGTGGCACATATTCAAAACATTTGGTATTTCTTCATTTGGAACACACCGGCGCAACAATCCATCCACACCTCTCTTATACAAAATTGGCTCATCCCACACATAATGCCTAGATTCTCTCTTGAGCTTCCTCCTTTGACTGTTGGAAAAAGAAGGAGGGAACTCCCCATAAGCAAGAAAATTTACCAAATCGACAAACCATGGGAGCTCCTTCACATTAATGACATATAAGGAATCATCCAACATCCGATCCTCAATAGGGGATCCATCATCTTGAACTTGAAAATCCTCAAGCCTAGATAAATGATCTGCAACCACATTTTGCGCACCTTTCTTATCCCGGATCTCAAGATCAAAAGATTGAAGCTCAAGAACCCAACGAATCAACCTTGGTTTAGATTCCTTTTTCCCAAATAGATACTTCAAAGCCGCATGATCGGTGAAAACAATAGTCTTAGACCCCAACAAATAACAACGAAACTTTTCAAAAGAATGAACAATCGCCAAGAATTCCTTTTCCGTTGTTGTGTAATTCCTTTGAGCACCATTTAGGGTCTTCGACATATAATAGATGACATGAAGCTTCTTATCAATCCTTTGACCCAACACACCCCCAATGGCCGTATCACTAGCATCACACATGAGCTCAAAAGGCAAATCCCATCTAGGGGCTTGGACAATAGGAGTGGAAGTCAAAGCTTTATTCAATTTGTTAAAAGCTTCCAAACAAGCATCATCAAACACAAGATCAACATCTTTTTGGAGAAGATCATTTAAAGGCTTAGCAATGAGAGAAAAGTCTTTGATAAACCTTCTATAAAACCCGGCATGGCCTAAAAACGATCTCACTCCCTTCACATTAACCGGAGGTGGCAACTTCTCTATCACCTCAATCTTGGCTTTGTCAACTTCTATTCCTTTATGAGAGATTTTGTGTCCAAGCACAATCCCTTCTTCCACCATGAAGTGGCATTTCTCCCAATTTAACACCAAGTTGACCTTTTCACACCTTTCAAGACACTTCTCAAGATTTTTAAGGCAATCCTCAAATGAAACTCCTCCCACGGAAAAATCATCCATAAAAACCTTCATTTCCTCTTCTAGCATGTCCCCGAAAATGCTCATCATACACCTTTGAAAGGTCGCCGGAGCATTACACAATCCAAAGGGAATTCTTTTATATGAAAAAGTACCATAGGGGCATGCGAAGGTTGTCTTTTCTTGATCCTCGAGATGAATAGGAATTTGAAAGAATCCCGAATATCCATCAAGGAAGCAATAGAACTTGTCGCCTTGTCAACCTTTCAAGTATTTTGTCAATAAAAGGGAGAGGGGAGTGATCCTTTTTGGTTGATGTGTTTAGACGTCTATAGTCTATACACATCCTCCAACCAGTGACCGTTCTAGTTGGAATGAGTTCACCTTTCTCATTCTTTACTACGGTCATACCCCCCTTCTTAGGAACGACATGCACGGGGGAGACCCACCTTGACCTTGAGATGGGGAATATGATTCCCGCATCCAAAAGCTTGGTGATCTCTTTCTTTACTACTTCTCCCATTGGGGATGTAGTTTCCTTTGTCGTTCAATAGAAGGTAGGGTGCCCTCCTCAAGTGTGATGTGGTGTGTACACAAGGCGGGGCTTATGCCCTTAAGATCATCAGTTGTGTACCCCAAAGCACCTTGGTGCTTTCTCAAGACACCACATAACTCTTGAGCTTGGCTCTCACTCAAGGATGCACTAACAATGACGTGATAAGTAGAATTAGGGCCTAGGAATTCATACCTAAGGTGTGATGGTAGAGGTTTGAGCTCTACCATAGGAACACCTTTACCTTCTTTGGTTGAGGCCACATGCAAAGCATCTTGACTTGATATCCCCATACAAATTTGATCATCACTCCCTTTATTGCTTCCATCAAGCAAGTCTTCATACAATTGCACTTCCTTGTTTGGGATACCTATCTTTTCCTTGTTCAACAAAACACATTCAAGAGGATCATTAGATGTGAGCAAATGCTCATGCATGGATTGTACAATATTATCAAGAACTTCAACTCTCATGCAATTCTCAAAAGAAGAAGAGGGATATTTCATGCCTTCATTCAAATCAAATTCAACTACCTCCTCTCCAATCTTAAGAGAAATCTTAACACTTTTGACATCAATCATTGCCCCCGATGTAGCAAGAAATGGTCTACCTAAGATGATAGGGATAGTAGCATCTTCATCCATATCCAACACTACAAAATCAACCAGAATGACAAATTTCCCAACCCTCAAAGGAACATCTTCTACCTTCCCCTTTGGGATCTTAATTGATCTATCGGCTAATTGCAAAGTAATCTTGGAAGGTAAAAGTTCTCCTAGACCTAATCTTTGATAGACCGAATATGGCATAAGGCTAACACTAGCTCCTAAGTCACATAGGGCATTATCAATTTGAGTTTTATTAATGGCACAAGGGATGGAGAAATTTCCAGGATCCTTCAACTTAGGAGGCATCTTATTCATGATTATTGCACTACAATGTTCGGGTAGGCTAATTGTTTCCATCATGTCACATGTCCTTTTTCCACTCAAAATCTCTTTGAGGAACTTAGCATAGTTTGGCATTTGTTCTACAACATCGGTGAAAGGAAGAGTTAGATGAAGTTGCTTAAGCATCTCTACAAATTTCCCAAATTGCTCATCCAATTTGTGTTTATTATACCTTTGGGGATAGGGAAGCTTGGGTTTGTAAAGTTCTTTCTCTTTCTCTTTCTCTAACACTTTCTCTACTTGTTCCTCATCAACTCTCTCACTCAAAGGACACTCATCTCCCTCAATTTTAATGGGAATCTTACTAGTGCTCTCTATAGCAACACTCTTATTAGGCACTCCACCCTCAAGGACCCTACCACTTCTATTAACAATAGCATCCATAGGGTTCTTAGAATCTAAACTAGGTGAAGTCAAAGAAGAGGAATTTGCACATTCCTTAAACACTAGCCAATTGAGAGAGTTTATCACCTAAATCTTTATTATAAGACAACATGTGATTGAACTTCTCATCATTCAAAGCCATGTAAGTTTCTAGCATCTTAGCTTGTTTCTCAATAATTCCTTCCAAGAAATTCCTAGAAGAAAATGATTGATCATAGGAATCATCACTTAAACCTTGAGCATTTGGAACTAAACCAATTGGGGAACCTCTTTGAAAATTTGCTTGAAAATATCCCCTACTTTGATTATTCCAATTACCCCTAGTTTGATTTTGGCCTCTTTGTTGACTATGGTTACCATAACTTTGATTATGATCCCCATGTCCTTGGCCATGACCTTGACCATTATAACTATGGTTATTGTAGCTACCATGAATCCCTTGGAATCCATGATTTCTCTAACCTCCAGTTTGGTTATAATTATCATGGTTCACATGATTATGATAATTCCTATTTCCAACATTTCTTTGAACATCAATTCTAGGTTCACATTCATGATCATTAATATAATTCAAATGCTCTACATCAATTCCATCACATTCATTACAAGGAATATTGGGGCACATAGAAGCATCATGATCATTCATTCCACATAAATCACAAGGCCAAGATTCTCTAACCATGCAACAAGAAGAAAGATTGGAGTTAGGGTAAAAAAGTGTACCTCTCCCCTTAATTTGGGAGGGAAAAATCGGAGCTTGCGAAGGTGGTTTCTCAAGCTTTGCTTTGAGTGACACAACTTCTTTCCCTAAATCCGCAATCAAAGTAGTCAAATCATTAATGGCACTAAGTTGTTCGATTGGGCAACCTTTGCTTGTTGGCTCTTTCTCCACTTCTTGCCAATTCATATAATGTCGCACCACTTCATCTATTGCATCCACCACTTCTTCTTCCGTTTTGTTCATTATTGGGCCTCCGGCTCCGGCATCTAAGCTTGCTCTTCCATGAGAACTCAACCCACCATAGAAGATTTGTATGATTTGATAGGTAGGAATCCCATGGTGTGGACACTCTCTTTGATACTCCATGTATCTCTCCCATGCTTCATAGAGACACTCACTAGGCCCTTGCTTTAAATTTTGGATCAAAGTTCATGATTCCGCCGTCTTCTTTTGTGGGAAAAAGCGAAATAAGAAAGCCTTTGTAACCTCATCCCATGTTCTTAAGGACCTTGGTTTGACCTCTTTGTCCAACCACTCTAGAGCTCTTCCAATGAGAGAGAAGGGGAACAACTTGAGTCTTATGTACTCTTGAGCAACTCCGGTTACCACAATAGTATTGCAATATATCTCAAAATCTTTGAGATGATTTTCACTCTTTGTACCTCCAAATTGCTTCCTCTCAACCAAAGTAATCATGGCCGGTTTAATTTCAAAGTCATGATCCGGAACCATCAATGGAACAATTCCACTCTCATACTTGTAAGCTCCCGGAGTGCCTAATTCCTTCAATGTCAACCTTTGAGCTTCTCCCATGTTCACTTGCACACACAATTCTCAAACAAAAATTATTAGTAGCACAGCTACAAATGTAGCCTAAAAGAAAATCTTTTTGTATTTTTCAATAATATGGAATAGACTCAACAACAATACACAATCAAGACACCATTCCCCGGCAACGGCGCCATTTTGATGAGTGGTGAAATGGTAGGTCGTTGGACTACCTCCCCCAAACAATCAAACAAAATTTATACACTCAACTAACCCCTATACAAGTATAGTAGCAAGTCAAGGGTCGAACCCAAGGGAATAGTGATTAAAAATCTATTTTCTTATGCTAAGCTATTCCGAAATCGAAATTGGGGTTGTAAGGCTAAGACTAAAGCTAATCACAACTAATGAACTTGTAAAATCAAAGATGATAAACACTAGGGTTAGGATCCACATGCATTCATAATGAAAATCAACTAATTTGGGAGGTCAATCAATTAAGTCAAGCAATGTGAGGGAAAATCGATATTGCAACCAAAATAACATATCATGCTATTCTCCTGGAGGTCTAACTAGCGCCAACTATGATAAACTCTAGCTAGGAAACGTCACAAGACAACTCAATCGTGTAAGTGCAAGCCACAAATCAATGGTCCGTATCAATGTGAACTTACAATGTAATCTAGTGTGAATAACTAGGGTGATCAAGCCTAAATCTAGCACACACATGCACAAAATCAATCAACCAATTTAATCACATTATCAACTCAATCAATTTCCCAAAATTAATTTCAATTCATTACTAATACATGCTTCACCATTACCCTAGCAATCAAACTACTCACAATCAATTAAGAATATCAAGATCAAAGCTAAACTAATCAACAAATTCATATTCATCAATTGAAATCAAACTAAATCAAACTAAATCAATCAAACTATCAACAAACTTAATCAATCAACAAAACAAATGAAATCAAACATAAGATTGTATTAAAGAGTAAATAATTCTTACAAACTTGATAGAAATCAAACCAAAATGTAGCAATCTTCAATCATCAATCATCAAACCCAAAGTTTCTCTCTCTAGAAATCTAAGAACAAGTGTTTTTCTCTCTCCTCCCAAAATTCAATCTAAACTAATTCTAATCTAAATATAATCCAAGCTAATGAATAATCTCCCTAAAAATAGAAGGAAACTACTATATATACAAAGGAGAAGTCGGTTATGACGTCCAAAAATAGACCCACGTCGGTGCGGCCGCACATAGGGGAGAAGAGGAGGTGCACGAGCACAAACCCATAGGGGTGCGCCCGCACACGCCTCCTGTGCGTCCGCACGCGCCACATGTGCGGCTGCACAGCCCCCTGTGTGCCCGCACCAAAGGGGGTCTCCTCCTTCATCTTCTTCGACCTTGATCATCTGGTGCACACAACTTTGGTGATGGTGATGAACATCGAAGTAGGCAGCAAGTTATGGACATTTTGGTGGGTACAAGTCATAGATGATGCCCCCACCACTTGCGTGCACCAGTCAAGAAACTTGCCCTTCGAGTTCCTCTAGACTTGAAGCTTAAAATGCTAGCACGAGACATCAATTGCAATGATAAATGTTGAAGGGAAGCTCGGAAATCTTTGGATGATCGATCATAACCTACAAACGAAAGAAAACAAACAAGTAATAGAGAAAAACAATGAATAAACAAGAAAAAGCACAAAATAGAGAAACTAACTACGAAAAGCACAAAGTAAAGAAATAGAGAGAAAAACTAAAGAAAACTAAGGAAAAGAGCTATAAAATGAAATAAAATTCATCCAAAAAGAGATCAAATGAGTGCCATAAATGTCACTCATCACTTCTCCTCTATGTGTGGCCGCACCTGCGTGGGTCTATTTTAGGACGTCATAACCGACTTCTCCCTTGTATATATAGTAGTTTCTTTCCATTTTTAGAGAGAGAATTCATTCATAGATTTTGATTAGATTTTCATTAAGAATTCATTAGGAGCAATTAGATTAGATTAGACTTGATTAGAAAGGTTTTTAGAGAGAGAAACTCTAGGTTTTAGAGAGAGAATTTCATGGTGGATTGTTGATGATTGAAGCTTTCTTTAATTCCATTGATCTTTGATCAAGATTGTAAGATTTCCTTTTATTTAATTCAATCTTTAGTTTCATTTCAATTGTTTTGATGAATGTTCAAGTTTGATTGAAGTTTGATTGATTTGGGATTTGATTATAGTTTGTTCAATTTGATCATGATGAATTTGTTGTTTGGCTTTGTTTTGATCTTGATTTCTATGGATTATGAGTAGTTAGATTGCTATGGTAATGGTGAAGCATGTATGAGTAATAGATTGATGCTAATTGGAGAAAATTGATGGAGTTGATGATGTGATTAAATTTGGTTGATGATCATGTGCATGTGTGTGATTAATTAAAGAGTATCTAACTTTGATTATTGCGTTAGATTGCATAGTAAGTTCACATTGATACGGACCATTGATTTGTGGCTTGCATTTACACGATTGAGGTGTCTTGTGATGTTTCCTAGCTAGAGTTTATCGTAGTTGACGCTAGTTAGACCTCTAGGAGAATAGCTTGATATGCTCTATTGGTTGCATGATTGATCTTCCCTCACATTGCTTGACATAGCCAATTTAACCTCCCAATTAGTTGATTCCAATATGACTACATGTGGATCCTAGCCCTAGTGCTTATTACATTTGATTTCTTCTCGTTTGTTTGTCGTGTTTGTCTTAATTAGTATAGATTTCACACCCTATCTCTAGACTTCGGGATATCTTGACTATAGACAATAGACTTTGACTCACCATTCCTTTGGGTTCGACCTTGACTTACCTCTATACTTGTATTTAGGTTTGTTGAGTTTTTATAAATTTTGTTTGGCTTAGGGAGGATTAGTCCAATGACCTAGTTTTCCCCACGTCAAAATGACGCCGTTGCCGGGGAATGGTGTCGTGATTGTGTATTGTTGTTGAGTCTATTCCATCTATTTGAAAAATACAAAAAGATTTTCTTTTAGGCTACACTTGTAGCCGTGCTACTAATAATTTTGTTTGAGATTGTGTGCAAGTGAACATGGGAGAAGCTCATAGAGTGACGTTGAAGGAGTTGGGCATTCCGGGCGCTTACAAGTATGAGAGCGGGATTGCTCCATTATTGATCCCGGATGGTGATTTTGAAATCAAACCGGCTCTGGTCACCTTGATTGAGAGGAAACAATATGGTGGTGCAAAAAGTGAAAATCCTCTCAACCATCTCAAGGATTTTGAGAAGTATTGTAATACAATCATGGTAACCGGAGTTGCTCAAGAATATATAAGGCTCAAGTTGTTTCCCTTCTCTCTCATTGGAAGAGCTTTAGAGTGGTTGGACAAGGAGGTAAAGACAAGGTCCCTTAGGACGTGGGATGAAGTCACAAAAGCTTTCTTGTCCCGTTTCTACCCACCAAAGAAGACGGCGGAGGCTAGAGCATTAATCCAAAGTT